TTCCCATTGGGAATTTTTCCATAATTATAAGTAGATAAAGGGTGCAATTCCTTGAATTTATTTTTATAACCAGTTACATGGTCAAATGCACCACTATCCAAAATCCAATCACCAAAGTTCATGGAACCCTTACTACAAGCATCATCTAGTGAAGAATATAAGTTTAGGAATTTCTTACAAGAGTCCAAAGGAGCTTGAGTAGCTTGAGAATTTGAATCATGCACATTGCCCGTGGAACTGCCAAGAATTTTGGTTGCTTCACCTTTAGCCATGATGCCACCGTGCCAACAAAATTGGGCAGCAAAAAAGAAGGAATGAGAGGGTCAAATCTACTCTGATACCATGAGAAAATGTATGTTTTCCATTTTTTCATGAATGAAAAGCTTCAGTATTTATGTACAAGACAAGAGTAGCCAAATGAATGAAATTTCTTAAGCAAATCTATTTACAACGGTAAAATATAAAATGGAAAGTAATAAAAGCTAACGAGTATATGTTGAATTGGCAAGGATTAGGGGCCAATGACTAGAACTTTGATTGTGGTGCTGTAATGTTGTAAAAGATATCTGCATAACTCTAATAAAAAAACTTGTTAAAATTTATGTATATTTAAATTTCAATATGAAATACAACTTTAATCATAAAATATTATTTAATATGATTTAGATAGGAAAACTAAATGTTCTAAAGAATTGATAATACCAATTTCAAATTAATTTTATTTTTTTATTTGATACAAATAATCATTAAATATACATATATTGCAATGACAAATATGTCAAATAAATAAAAATATTTTGTTAATTTTATTTTACTTGTCAAATGGTTAGTAATTTATTATAAGATTTATAAAAAAAAAATAAAAGTTAGAATACACCGTTTTATTTTTTTTCAAAAAGGGTAGTTTATTTAAATTTTTTAAAGTATAGGACCTATTTAATTTTTTTTCAAAAGTCTAGGGGGGGCGAGTGCCCCCCTTGCACCCCCTGTTTCCGTCCCTGCATTTAGGGTATGTTTGGTTGCTTAAAAACCTAAAAGAATATTTAGAGAAGTCGTGAGCTGTTGAGTCATGGCTTACACCTGAAATATATTTTTTTTTCTAAATTAAAGGCATATAAACACTTATTCTAAGATGTCGTCAATTATATACCCCGAAAAATACTTTCCCAAAAAATATCTCAAAAGATTTGTTTTTGGGGTATGTAATTATTTACAATAAAAAATACTCCATTATATCACTTATATATTTATGTAATTAATTATCTCAATAATATAATTAATTATATTGCAATTTAATTTGAAATTTGTGCTAGAAAAGTAAAATTCCTAATCATAGCTGATTGGCTTTTAAAATGTTGATTTCTTCAAATATTCTAAGTTCTTGAACAACCAAATAGTCTTTGCCATAAAAAATGTCATTGTGATTTAATGATTATTTTATTTTTATAAAGAAAAATTTTTATTAAGCAAAGTGGTGCAGGGTTCAAGTTCACCTTAAAGTATATATATATAGGCGTTGACATCGTAGGGCAGCCTCCAATTTCGTAGCCTTTGTGTCCCATAGCGTGCTCGTACTTGAGCCACCTTAACGCGCTTATAACTGTTTCTCCCTTTGCACTCCTTGTCCATGTCCATGTCCATGTCCATGTCCATGTAGATCCACATCCATATCCATTCCTCAGCCCAAAATCCTGGCCTTGTACAAAGTACAAATTCCAATCGTCAACAGTATGGTACAGCGTTTGTTTGCAAAGTCACAATATTTTTTTAGGATGTTGATTACAAGTTTCCACAGTGCAATTAAAAAACGAACAGCTTAAATTCAATTGTATACAGAATACCTTTGTCAATTAAAGCTTCCATCGTCTTCAGTCTTCCATGTTGGGATTTTTAAATCTCCTCATCTATAAATATAAAAGAAAAATTGAAGAAAACAACAATATGGTTAAAAACTAAACTTTAATTCAAGGGCAAGTTCGGTTATCCACTTTTATTTAAAAAAGAAAAAAAGAAAAAAAGAAAACCAGCCGAAAATGTTGAATGGCTTAATTTAGGATATAAATTTTTATTACATAAAAATCAAATTAAAATATAATTAATTATAATAAATTGGATAAATAATTATATTATTATATAATTAATTATGTAAACGTAATTGTTTATTTTTAAAATATAATTTATTATAATCA